GCATATTTTCCGCGTCCTCGGATCTCACGCCTGTGAGCGCGGAAATCCTCGGAAATAAGAATTTTCTCATCAAAGCACGATGGCGATCAGCAACAGGCCTGTCATAGCGTGCGAGTGGGCAATCATGGAGTATCGTGCCGAATAAAAGGTTCGTGTCGAGTGTTTGTATGATACTGTAGCATGTCCACTACAGATACATCAGCTTTAATATCACGCATACTTCCCACTATTACCCTGTGTGAGGTGATGCAAAAACCAGCATCAACTGAGATAGTCAGAAAGTCTGTGTTTATCAGCACTGGCCGAAATACACACCTTGGGAGGACGGTCTTACAGCATTCAAGCGTAGACACTACATAGACGAAATGTTCACGTCATCATCTACAAACCACCGCCAGCGCCAAGTCCCGTTGAAATACATAAGAGACACGAAAGGCAGCCCCACTGCAGCCCGTGTCGTGCAAATGGCTCAGCAGGGAGCTTAGTTAGGGTATACAGTAGGGAGCATGCATAGCTCGTGACGCACTCGGACCCAGGTCGATATGGAATCAATCCACGCATGACCCGGCCCAAGTCATGACACCTCCACAAGTTCAACCGAAATCCACCAGAATGTTCTGAAATCCCCCTTCTCATACCGCCATACCTACGCATGACGCATACCGCGAGAACGACCTCGTGGCCGGTGAGGTCACTGCCCGCTGCTCTTCTACGCACAGCACTCTCTCTGAGCCCTGGGGGCCCGCTCAGCTGATCGCAGGGTGGCACGGCGCGTGGCGACGCCGCTCTCCCGAGAAGGCAAGGTCGCCGGAGCGGGGCTGTCCGTCGTGACGTCACACACGACCCGATGACGTCACAGACGAGCGGAGGACGCAGCTCGAGCCGCGGCGGCGGAGCAGATATCTGCACGGCGCTGTGAAAGTCTGAGAGTGGGAGGTCGCCTATCCCGAGTGCGAGCTTCTGTTCCGGTCATAAAGTGTTGTATTATGTTACTTGAAAGCTATTTAGACTCCCGTTTCGCGTCACTGGCAGAGCGGAAAGGAATTGAATTTTCAGCTGTGGGATGAAACGCAACAGCCATATCATTGAATTATTGAAGGTCATATGCAGTTGAATGATGATTGGACAGGCATTTCCCGAGCGATCGGAGCATGTTAGAACTCAAGGGGATTCGGTTATGTGTCCCATCGCAATTGAAAGCACAACTTCATGCCATGAAGGTGAGACGAGGTCCGCATTCGCGCGAAGTACTTACCTACTGAGTACTATTCGTCTGCAAGTTGGAGAACTTAGGTTCGTGGCAAACTACAGCGTATAATCGACATCGTAGAGCTTTAGGCTGATACCATACGAATTAAGGCTAAGCGCCTTCACAACATCAGATAATCAATTACTACGCACTTCAACCACCAGCCAATAACACTAGCAAACGGAATATTTAATCAGCACAAACCGCATTAGCATAGCCCTCTACAGAGCGTGTTTTCAATCAACACTTTGGCGACTGTTTTAGCGAGTAAACCATGACGGTACGCCACCACACAGGGTTAAATGACGACCTTCAGAGTCGCCAGGCATCTGGTAGCGCTTCCGCCTCAACAGAGCGCCGGCGGGCCTTGAATGAACGCCGTTTGATAAACAATGCTGCCTTCGAATTAGCATGGGTGGTCGGAGGGTAAGTTGGGCACGAACTGCGAGCCTCGATTATGGGGTACCCATATCGTAAGGTGACGAAATGAATACGCTTCGTAATTCATTTCGCAGATATATAATACGCAGATATATAATACGTAAATATCTGATGATTCAAGATGAGAGCTCAACTCTTGCTTTGGGACACAATTCGTCGGATCAGGCATAGATCTGGCGATGAGACGTGTTCGTTTGGTGCTCGAATAATTTTAAAATGTGCTGCCATCATATCTCTCCAAAATCCAGATGGCATCAGGGCAGTCATAACAGCTACAAATCGAGCCATTTACCACTGGAACGTTCACTCTCTACGAGGTATTATGAGCCATAACTGAGCTATATCGGTAGATGGACTGAATGTAAATTGGTTAGGCTGAGGTGGGCTGAGATTGGTAAATGTTGGGACTTGCATTAGGTGTATGCTCAAATCATCCAAAATTATATGTTTCTGATTAGTGCAGCAAATCTAAGAATAGCAAACGGCACTTGGTTAAACTGGATGAAATGCAGCCAGAAGGAAAATCGCAAGATAGCCAGGAACATGCGTACTGCGTAGTCTTAAAAAGGGGGAACATTCATTCTGGCCAGGGTTCATAATGTCCAGGGTACGATATGCCCAGTGTCGAAATGGCCAGTGCCTTGAATAGGCCAGAGTTCATAATGTCCAGGGATTGCATGGTCCAAATGCGGCCAACTGGCTGCAGATAGGGTATATTCAAAGAGGCCAGGGTTCATAATGTCCAGGGCACGATGTGTCCAGTGTTCGAAATGGCCAGGGTTCATAATGTCCAGGACACGATGTGTCCAGTGTTCGAAATGGCCAGGGTTCATAATGTCCAGGGAACGATGTGTCCAGTGTTCAAAATGGCCAGTGCCTTGAATGGGCCAGAGTTCATAATGTCCAGGGATTACATAGTCATTGAAAGTGACGTCATTATGTAAAAACACGGAACCAGCTCAATGCGAAGCAGTGCAGTGCCGAAGGCAATGCCTTAGGAGAGATTACAGGCAATAGTAAATCAAATATTTTTAGGTTAAGTGGTTATGTATCTGGCTTCAGGCCGAAGGCCTGAAGCCTGATGCATAACCACTTAACCTAAAAATATTTGATTTACTATTGCTTGCAATCTATTCATGCGAGAAACTATTTCCTTATCCCCGGTAGGCAAACATTATTACCTTAGGTTAGGTTAGGTTAGGTTAGGTTAGGTTAGGTTAGGTTAGGTTTGGTTTGGTTTGGTTTGGTTGACTGTGTAATCCCTGGACACTATGAACTCTGGCCAATTCAAGGCACTGGCCATTTTGAACACTGGACACATCGTGCCCTGGACATTATGAACCCTGGCCATTTCGAACACTGGACACATCGTGCCCTGGACATTATGAACCCTGGCCATTTCGAGCACTGGACACATCGTGCCCTGGACATTATGAACCCTGGCCTCTTTGAATTTACCCTATCTGCAGCCAGTTGGCCACATTTGGACCATGCAAACCCTGGACAATATGAACACTGGCCAGTTCAAGGCACTGGCCATTTCGAGCACTGGACACATCGTACCCTGGACATTATGAACCCTGGCCTAAATAATACGCACCCCTTAAAAAGCACCTGTGTTTATTTGAAATCGAACGGTTAGATATTGCCTCTTAACTCTTAGTTATATTCATTTCACAATACTGGCTACGTGTAACGGTTCTTTAATTTCAAAAGAGCAACAGGTTTATCACCCAAGAGCTATAGGTGTCAGCTATAGGAGCTATAGGAGTTCACAGCCAACATTGAGTCAAAACCATTAAATGCTGTGACATTGAGAACATAAATCCTATTAATCCCTGTAACCCGCTCATCAAACATAACCTGCAACTATCTCTACCCATCATCCTTTCAACCCTCGCCAGACCCCCACCCACTCCGCGTCTTGCCGACGGCTCAATCACAACACAGGAAGCGCAGCGCGTGACGAAACGGCCCACCTCACCCGATCCGGCCGGTTGCCCAGTGGGCCAGCGTGTTTTCAATCGCACAGACAGGATGTTGGCAAGTGGCTTGACACGCGCGCCGATGCAGCCTCGCAATACTGGGTGAAGGTCGGGACGTCGCCGCGGCGACCACTGACTGCTCTGCACGCACACCTGGTGCGTGCAGGGTGGCGATATGTGCCGAAATAAACCCAGGACTGGGTCGGGGACGGCTCGCAGCCGGTGTGTTTACGTTGAAGCAGCGGGGAGGAGAAATACACACACAGAGAGGTGAATCGGGATGTCGGAAATAGAAGGCCGGAACAACAGACGCTGAGCTGGAGCTTTGATCGCTGGGCCATGACATAGTTCGACTTGGCAGGTGGCAATGAAAGCTTTCAATCGCACCAGGAGATGACACTGTCCCCGATTTTGGCGAGCCCGGGACGCGTGCCAGGTTTGGGGACGGGGTGAGTCATTTCGCACGTGCTGTGCGCTATCCCGGGCCTCCACCTGTCGGACGTTTGTCACGGGCTACACCTACTAATGGTAGTTTTTCCAGGAACACAGGCGATGTTGTGCGTTACTCTGACATCAGTGTTCGCTGAGTCGAGCTATTTGTAAGCAGGTCCGACTAGTGCCAAACAGCGCTGTTAAATGCCAAGCCTCAAATATCTCACCACACTGCTCTTTCTCGTCTAGTAACGCAAGGTGACATGTGTGCACATTACTCAAGAGTCGGCCATCTCGAGTTTCGCACAAACAACAGACAATTCTGAAGTTCTCTCCGCTTATCTCGGTACGGACGCGTCAATTCAATTTCAGGATGTTTTGCATGCATAATCTGAGTCAAGAATTTAGTGGAAGATACATTTAAAGTCGTAATAAAACGAAGGAGCTCGTATGGAACGCTATCGCAACGTTCTCACATTGTTTAGCTGAAGCGTGGTTTTATTCGTTTCGTCAAATCTAGCATTATTAGCCCTCCTAGGTCAAGCAGTTTCTACGTCATATTTCGAACGCTCAACGCAGCCTCGTCGTTCCAACTTTTCCCACAACATCATATGGCACTCCCAATGACCTGGTATCATATCTCCATAATATAGCCATATCCTGCTACCACTACTAGACACGCTTCGTTCCCACGGACGCCAAACATGCATGATGCGACCCCAACTGCGTTTCCTACCGCACATTTCATTCTCCTCCCATACATCCCGTCTCTCATTGTCACTACAGCTCCCCATATCTCGCCTCACTCGTCGATCGATCTGCGACCGCCGCCCTACCTCTCCCCGGGGTGATCCGTGTCCTGCCCGTGGTCCGCGGCACGCGCTGGTACTCACCGAGCCGCTGTTTGAGCCAGCTGCTGGGGATGAGGCAGAAGCGGCCGGTGGGGTCGGCAGTGCCCACGCTGGCCGGCCGGCCGAACCGACTTCGCCAGCGCAGACTGGCCAGGGAACCTAGGGCAGCGGCGTGGCGACGGGGTCACTACGGTGCGGGGCGCGAGCGGGCCCGCAGGCAGGTCCACGAAACACGCGGATACAGTGGTGCAGATACTGTGCACAGTGCGCGACCAGTGGAATAAAGATCTAGAACATGACACAACCTGGCACAGGCACAGCCACAATATACCGTTAGACCTGATAGGAGGTACAGGTATACAACAACTAGCCACATTGATACCAGACCAATACCTGAGGAAGATAGGAGCCAACAGTCACCACCAATAGTCATGCAACAATTCATGATAAATGATTGCAAACGCAGTTGAGAAAATGCATGCTCTACTATTGTAGATACCCCTAAAACCCTTAGACAGTACAAACATAACCACAATGCTGGAAGACACTGACATGACTGACAAACATTCAATACCATGGGCACTGCATAAGTCAATACAACAAACAGGCAGCATTCAACCACCAAGCATGTATAATAAAACTACAACAACCTGTGGCGGTCAGGGTGAGTGAAGTGTCTACCTGTCGGAGAGACAACTCAGTGTTACCAGCAGTGCCACACAAACTGATAATGGGTAGCCAATGATCACAGCATTCAGACTCAGACAACCTGCAGGGCACTTCCTGTCAGTGGAGACTATTAGTTCACAAAATGAGTAAATGTGTAATGTAAATTTCTTTATGTAACTCACATGATCATCTTGTCATGCAAAAGTGGAGCCTGGTGTCAATACTCATCATCTGTCTTCATATGAAACTTTGGCATTTTGAAAGTGAAACTAGAGAGCCAGATAATTGCTTAAAAGATGATGTCTTTTACATGCTTATTACATGATAGTCATTGGATAATGCTTCATAATGGCTGTGTGTATAAAATGAAATGGTATCTAATTTTGCCAGTAACATGATCAAATCAAGCATTAATGATGCATTAAAATGTTTAGAAAAGTTATCAAAATCAAATGATATTCCATTTGGTAAACCACATGCACATCTAAGAACTGTTCACCTCTTTCATTCTGTAAATTTCATGGGGATTTACTTTGTAACTGCATGATTTTTCTTTTATTTTAAGGTGCCAAAAGGAGATTAACTTCTGCCTTGAATGTTACAAATAATTGCCATATTTATAATGTGTTCCTTTAGTTCATGAGTATCTCTACCATTCACAAAGATGTGAAACAATTCTAGAAGTATAACATTAATATTAGGCTTGGTACACCTTGCACATTTGCATCACGACACACAGTTAGTTGAAAAATAAAATGGTCTAGTCAACTATGTCAGTATTCATCTGAACAGTGCAGCTTTAATATTTCCAGCAGGCAGGCTAACCTAGCAGCTTGTTGACACTTCGCCAAGGCGTTCTGATTAGCAGAAGTCTGCCCAATGGACCTGTGGTAAATGCACTGCAGTGTTAGGAAATCAAATGTCCTTGAATGGTACAAATACAAACTAGCACTACTGACAGATGTCACAAAAGCAATCCAGCAAATTGTGTGTCTCATAGTGTCAAAACATTGCACAGAATGAGAAGAGATTATGAAGGAACGCTTGCAAATGACCACCTATCTTTTAACGTCAATGTTATTGATGAAAACTGAATGACAAAGCAACAAAAATGTTTGATTGCAACAATTCTTAAAATCCCACATTAACATAAAAGTTGGTTATCACTCAGAATTTAGAGCTCATTCTAATGCATTCATTAACAGGTGGTTTTACACCACAGGCCACACATTCAACCCCATCAAACAAGGCTTACCTGAGAACTCTCTGATTGCTTCATCGCCTTTGATTTGTTGTATTTCCTTCAGCAACAACTGCCTATCCTCAGATGTGAAGTTTTTAGCCAGGCTCCTCGCAGTTTCCTCCGTCAATCGTAACCTTGGCTGAGGATCCCTGTTATGCATCATATCTGTCACCGTTTTTTCGTCGAAGGGAGCCTGGGTGTTGAGCTGCTCCAGTCGCGCACAAGAGGATAGGCAGCCGTAGCCATATTTCTCGAGTAGTTTCTTATGTTGCCGTCGGCCACACTTGGAGAACGCCTGCCTCACCAGCACACCTCTCGCGAGTGAACCCATTTTCGCGACTGACATCGCAACCGACGAAGCAAGCGAGCTGGCCGGCGGCGAATAGCAGCGCACCACAACTGCCAAGGCTGCCAAATGATCTGGCAGCTCTTATCAGTGCAGCGTAGGAAAATACCTTTCCTTTGAGTTCGCCCTTCATGTGTCAACGCTACCGATGTGTGACCTGGCAGATGCATGAGAAAGCGTCTTCAAAAACATGAGGTACTGTTACCACCAATTCACCTTCCTTGTCATAACTGTAAGGCTCAATGTAAAACAGTGATGCAAACTTGTGAAAAGCTAAGGCAGAGCAGTACCTACTCTAAAGCACACCGTGTTCAGCGTTGTTCCTGGCAAAACACTCAGTCCAAAGTGACTCTTATTGTTTTGGATGCAGTAAAGCAGTCTCGAAGTGCATCCAATTTTACCGTACAGTCAAATTATTCGTGCGATGTATCACTCAGTATTTGGCCGTTTGGCGCTGACACACCGCCGCGTCCCAGGCCCCAAAGCCACGATCTGGGGACTGAGCTGCAGCTGAGCTGCCACCTATGCAATGGAAAGCATGTTGTGCTGCCATCTGCAAGGCATTGAGACACTCTGCTATGCAACCAACGCAATTACGGACTTTTTCCTCAGGCCATGGTTCAGGGACGCGGGGACGCGGGCGCCGGTCGGGACCGCAGCATACGTCGGCCAGCTCGGGCTTGGTGATCGGCTCGCTCAACATTCAGTCACTGCGTCCCAAGCTGACAGAACTGTCAGACGTACTTCACCGCCAGAAGTATGATGTAATGCTACTGTCAGAAACTTGGCTCAGGCCAGCAGTGCCTACCGATTATTGGTTCTCCCCGGCTACTCCATCCACCGTGTGGACCGTCCCGACGGGCGGGGCTACGGAGGCGTTGCGATCGCCGCCAAGGAGGAACTGTCGGTGACGCCACTGAGGCCGGCCTCGGAGCGCCCGCCGGACAGCCGTCTGGAGTCCGTCTGGTCGCTGCTGAAGACCGACCGCGGCCGACAGCTGCTGCTGTGCTCCGTTTACCGACCACCCAGATACACGGCGGCGGCGCTCGACGCCGACTTCAGAGACCTGGAACATCAACTACAGAGTGTCGTCCTCAGTCACCCGACGGTGGAGGTGCTGATCTGCGGTGACCTCAACTGCGATCTGTTGAAAAGCGCACCAGCTCCTGCCCGTACTCGACTCGAGATGTTCTTATCTGAGTATTCACTATATCAGCTTGTGACCACACCCACTTTTACTTCTGGCTCTCTAATTGATATTTGTATAACGACCTGTCGCGGCCTTGTCACACAATGCTGTACGACTCTTTGCCATTTTAGCCCGCACCATATCGTTCATGCTACCATCATTTTACCTCGCAACCGCCGCAGACCGGTAGTTACACAATCTCGACGTTTGAAAAATTTGGATCACCGAGCTTATCTTACCGATTTGCATTTAGCCGACTGGAGCAGCGTCTTTTACTCTGAGACTGTCACTGAGAAATGGGACGCCTTCACATCTACATTCTTACCTATACTGGACAGCCACGCGCCGCTCCGCTCGGTGCGAGTGAGGAACCCGGCCGCCCCTCCGCTCTCGGCTGACACCAGGGACCTGATGTCTCGCCGCCGCTCTGCCTTACGCCTCGGCGGGAGGGGCTCGGCCGAGTACCGGGAGCTGAACCGCGCCGTCCGCTCAGCCATCCGCCGTGATACCCGCGAGAGCATAGAGGCCAGGATCAGTGAGCGGGGGCCACAATCTGTTTGGCGCAGCCTGCAGTGCGTGGTTGGCGGTAAACGCTCCGGTACACCGGTGCTGCCCCAGCTGACCAGCGAGGAGCTGAACCACTTTTTCGTGTCCGTCGGACCGCGAGTGGCCGCTGAGGTGGCGAACCGGGGCCGGGGCGCGAGTGGTCCAGTACCCTGTCGTCTTCCACGTGTCGGTGCCTGTGGTTTTAGCGTCTCACCTATCGATATCGACACTTTGACCTGTACACTGTTGAGCATGCGCAACTCGTCCGCCTGTGGTGCAGATGGTATTTGTGTACGAGTACTGAAGGCCGCGTTCCCCGCCGTCGGCGAGATCATCCTACACATCATCAATACCTGTTTGATCCGAGCCGACTATCCTTCATCCTGGAAACACTCTATTGTTCATCCTATCTTCAAAAAAGGCGACCCTTCCGACCCTTCTAACTTCCGTCCTATATCCATAATTCCCATCATATCCAAAGTCGTTGAACGTATCGTTCAGCGGCAGCTCTTCCACTACCTGTCTTCAAACCACCTCCTGTCATCCAACCAGCACGGCTTCCGCCCACACCACTCGACGGAGACCGCGCTGGTGTCGGTCTCCGACCACATCCTCACAGCCGCCGACGGCGGGGAGATCACCCTCATGTGCTTGATCGACCTCAGCAAATGTTTTGACGTTGTAGACCACCGAATACTTTTAAACAAACTACGGCTGCACGGCGTTGACACCGAGTGGTTTGAAGCATATCTCTGCGGCCACACACAAAGTGTCTCACTCCGTAATGCCGCGGGTGCCGAAAATGTTTCACAGCCGCTGCCCAACTCCATGGGAGTCTTCCAGGGTTCGGCGCTCGGGCCGCTACTTTTCACGGTGTTCGCGAATGACATGTCGGCATACGCTGAAGGTGCTGCGGTGGTCCAATACGCTGACGACACCCAGGTGCTGATCTCAGGTAAAAAGAACGAACTACAAACGCTCATCTCTAACTTAGAGACATCTCTGGCCTCTTTAGATCAATGGTTTACCGCAAACGCCCTTAAGGTGAACGCGGGTAAAACGGAGCTGATTGTTTTTGGATGCCGTCAAAATCTCCGCCACTTTCCAAAATTTACTGTTAAATTCAGTGAAACCAGACTTGTTCCCTCTGATCAAGTCAAGAACCTTGGAGTACTTTTCGACAAACACCTCACCTGGGACAGCCACGTGGATGCCGTCAGCCGCCGCTGCACGGGGACTCTCCTAGGTCTCTCTCATGCCCGCCACTTGGTACCCCGTGGCATTATTACTATGCTCGTGTCAGCCCTGGTGCTTTCGCAGGTCCGCTACTGCATCTCTGTCTACGGCAATGGGTCAAAAAAGAACGCAGCAAAAATTCAAAAGATTTTGAACTTCTCCGCTAAAGTCATTTTCGGCAGGCGAAAATTTGACCACGCTGCGGACCTGCGGAAGCAGCTGGGCTGGCTGGACGCGCAGCAGCTGGCAGACCATAGTACGATCTGTCTCACCCACAAAGTGTTCCGAAGTGGAGAGCCGGAATCGCTGGCAACTGTCCTCCGTCCGAACGCGGCAGTACGATCACGTGCTACCAGGCAGGACGGTCTGCTGCACGTGCCGCGCTTCAGAACCGAGACCGGCAGACGACGCTTTTGTACCAGAGCGCCAACACTATATAACCAGCTGCCACCGGACGTGACTGCTCTCGACGGACAGCGCTTCCGCCGGGCGCTGAAGCGCTTCCTTGCCCGTGGTTGTACCAACTGACATGTCTTTTGATGTACGAGTGTGTTTGTATGCCTGATTTAAATGCCGACCTTTTAATGTATCGCTCACCTTGTTGACTCGGAGCCGTAAAAGCCACTGTTGCTGTGGAGTGCTCTTCAAATGAAATACAATACAATACAATACAATACAGGGCTGGAATATGGGCGAAAGCGGTTCTGAATACCCCGCGGTTTATCTACCTACTCCAGATGATGCGCAGGAAAGCTGGAATCAAAAATAGATCAGCTGAGAAATGAATAAATCACTGGAAAAAAGAATCATTAGAAACTCAGAAACATTAGTTCAATTAGCTGAGATAATTCCATGCGAGACAAGTCAGGGATTCAGCTCTGTGTGGGTCGGTCACACTGACACAAAACCGCGCTGTCCCGCTTTGGCTCGGGGGAGGGGGCGGACAGCAACCGAATAAATGGCCCACGGGGCTGCCGGCCGGGGCCAGAAGGGGCGGGGCAGGTGGGGGCGGGCAGGGGCGGGGGGAGGGGCAGGGGATGGTGCCGAGAACCCAATCAAAGGAGAGCGCGGCCGCGGCGCGGCGCGGACGACGCGTATTGTGATGGCGCAGCGTCGACCGCCGCGGGAGGGAGACGGGGAGCCGACGGCGCGGCTTTGTCTCCGAGTCGTTTCCGTTCCATTAGCGGGTAAAGGGGAAGCCGAGCTGCCCGCGCTCAGAAGGCAGGCTGCCGCCACAGGACAGCACACACAACTGCGCATTGCAGTAGTGGTATTCGGGGCAGCCCGCGGTCGAGCAGGGGGCAGGCCCGCCAAGAGTCGAAAAGCGAAGATCGTCATCGATGACTGAGTTTTTACTCTCTATGCCGTGTCCTGAACTTGGTAACTGAGTAGGATCCATGTTAGGCAATTGAAAGTAGGTAGGATGAAGGATAAGATCATTAGTCCGGCCATTGGTACCCGGCTCCTCTAATAAGACACATATGTGTAGGCTGGGAACACCATGTCAAACAACAAACTCTTGCTATTTTGTAGACCACGCGTCTCTTTTTCTCACACCTCGCCCTCGGTGATCTAGCACCGCTCGTCTCGTCTACTGCCGTTGCACGCGGCCCCAGTGACTGGGCTTTCATCAAACATTCCACCCTGGCCGACGGTGGTCGCATTAGGTGGGACGTGCCGACCATGTGAAGACCGGTATCTCGCTCCTGGCGCATCGTTCAGGCCCGTCGTCACGTTGTTCTAAACATCCCCGCGCTCGTCGCTCGCGGAAAGGACGCCTGACGGGACTCTTCCGTCGAGCGTATCTTTCCAATCATAAAGTGCTCGTATAATTCACTCCTCCTCACTGGGCTGCCTCAATGCTTTTACTTCCAATATTTTCAATACTTTAATACACTTTGTATGCTCGGACATTGCAGGCACGGCCGGTGGCGCGTTACGTAGAGTGCAAGCAGTCAACAAACAACGTCCGGCTGTGTTCCAGGCTCGTATTTTTCGTGCGGATCCACCCACTCGTCCGAATCAGTCCATGCCTGCCCCAATTCGGTCCGATCGACAAATTGATTCC